GGCACAATTACAGGACTTGGTCTTATTTAAAATACTTCAGAAGGACTGCAAATAAACCTTGACCCTTCCACAAGAAAGATGAGCACATATACCGTATACTGTATTACACACTGAACTAACACGTTGAACTTCTTCTAAATTTTCCTTCCAATAATCTTCTAATCATTAGTCACAAACTCCTCTCTGTGAGTTTTTTTACATCACATCCTGTTGCATTTGCTGGAACATTATATTGACTGAAGAATGTAATTAGGAGCACAAAAGTCACCATTCTTAAGCTCTCATGTTATGTTAGCACTAGCGTTGATGCTAACATTACAGTTTAAACTTGTGTGCAGTGCTCTGACAAACTTTAACATTTACTTTAACCTACCTTGAACTTTTCTGCAATTAATGGCCTTGTCTCAATTCATAGTGGGGTGCATGGTCCACGTAACTAAACACCTCCCTCACATAGACCGGTATGCCTGTTAATTGAGTACATCAACACTGGTTCATACATGTTTGTACGTAAGTTCGTAAGAAAGAAAGCAGGCAAGTAAGCAAACAAGTGAGTAAGTAAAGTAAGCAAACAAGCACACTAATAAGTAGGAAAAAAGTAAGAAAGAACGCAACTAAACGAGTAAAGAAGTGAGTAAGTAAAGATTGCAAAGTAATCAAGCAAGCAAGCTAAGAAGCAAACAAGGAAAGGGCAAGGCAAGGCGCCTTTGATCATATAGCACATTTCATACAGAAGGTAACTCAATGTGCTTCACATAAATAAGAGTGCAATATTCAAAAGCACAAACAAAAGAGTAAAAGAGATTTAAAAGCAAAGTGGAGAAACCAAAAGTACCTGACTAAAATAACGTACAGTGCAAGAACATGTTTTGTTTTGTTTTTTTTTTGTTTTTTTTGTTTTTTTTGAGAATATAAAGTTTTAAAAAAATGCTTCAAGAGATCTTAATCTTTAGTATGGGAAAAGAGCCTAGTTTTTAAACCTCTGTCCAAATGCCCACGTCATATGCACGGCCAACTATAATATAAATGATCAGCTCATCAACAGGCTCTGTCGAAGCCTGAAACGATCATGAACAATTGAATCAGGTGCGTTGGAGCAGGGAGGGATCTAAAACAGGCCGGATATGGCTCTCGAACAGCCAGTTCCCTAACCCTGGCCTACAGGAATGACTGAAACAAAACTTTGCTTAAAAAAAATGCAGAAATTGAAAACAATTATTGACAATAAAATATATTTACACCGCTTTTATAAAATGTCAACAGAGTGGGAAGCTCGGAGCTTAAACTGCAGTCATCTTTAATTCGTAATCTTCTTTCAGAGACATCAAGTAAAAGGCAGACAGCAGGCCTCATTAACCTAACAGGACAATAAAATCACACTAGCCCCATCAAATACATAAATAAAGATGTATGGTATTGTAATGTATGAAGGAGCCTGACCACTGAAGCTCTGTCAGTGACTGTTCAAATATTGTACTGAATCCTACAAGGAAGAGACAGCCAGTGCAAGGTCAACAAAATGAGAATGATATGGCTTGTCTAATGAAGTTCTGACAGCTTGGAATTCCTCTCTGAGGAAAATCAAATCAACCAATTCCTACATTATACAAACGTTATGTTGGAGCAATTTGAGATATTTACTATAAAAGTCCAATTCAATATTGATGAGTGATCAGGGGCAAGTAGGACTCCAATTAGTTCAACCATTCACTTTGTATTGCACACGATTCAAGCAGCTTGGCGTCTTTTGATACCATTGAAGGAACTAATGGCCTGTACGGGACCATCAAAGGGCTCCCTGGCTGTGATTAGGGATTTTCATGGCTCTTGTCCTGACAGAGGTCTGACCCTAACTAACCCCTGAGACTTTCTCCTTTGACCCCACCCAGTGTCACCCAGTGAATGCTGTGCTCAATGGGGCATCTATCTATCTATCTATCCTGGTCTGTGTGTCTGTCTGAGTGTCTGTCTGCCATCGTTGAATTATGATTAAAAAAAAATGAGATGGGAGATAAATCCTTTCAAAACCTTTTCCACTATGTAATCCACCCATTTTTTAATACGCTTATCCTCACAAGGGCCACGGGCGCGCTGCGGCCTATTCCAGCTGTCTTCGGGCTGTAGACGATGTACACCCTCAACTGGTTGCCAGTCAATTGCAGACGTAGGCAAACAACCATCCGCACTCATAATCACACCTAGGGACAATTTGCAGGGCCCGTTTTTGGAACGTGGGAGGAAACCCACGCAGGGACAGGGAGGACATGAAAACTCCACACAGAAAGGCCGGAGCCGCCGGAATCGAACCTTGCACCTCTGCACTGTGAGGCAGATGTGCTAACCAGTCGACCACTGTGCTTTCTACCAGAAACCTTGAGGTTTTATGCTAACACTGACAGTGTATACGGAACTGTTCCTCCACCAAGTCCAAGGCCCCAGTTGCAGCTAAAGAAAAAGAGCCCCAAAGGAAGTTCCCGCCACCGCCATGCTTCACTGTAGATGTGGCGCAGTCTTTAGCTTATGAGTGGTTTTGTATTTATGCCAAACATAACTTTTGCCCCAAAAACTACAACCTTGATTTCTTCAGACCTTAATGAAATCTACCAAACACATTACGACTACAGGCAAGTGTGCACACGACATAATTTCTGTTATTCATTTTGACTTCCCATCTTAAAAAGATGACAAAAAATACTAATTGAATTGTGCATTGAGTCTTCACAGCCTCTTTATATCCATCGCTCTATCCCCCGAAACAAAATTGAATGTTCTTCACTGAGTAAATACGGGTGGAGCCCAGATGGACGGCGCAGAGCACTCCAATCAGCTCACAAAGGTGATATAATTGCTGGGGCAGGGTGGGATGAAGCCAGCGCCTTTGGAGTTCTCCACTCTCCTCCTTTCCCCATTGCACTTATTCTCTCCAAGTCCATACGCGCTGATTATACTCCCCTCCTTCATTGTTCCATTATCCCCTTGCAACAACAGGCCAATTTGTCCCTCCAGCTTGGTTCCCGCCTCCTCTCCCCTGCTGTGTTATTTAGCCCCTCTCCTACACTTCAATGGCAGGTACCGGTTGGAGGACTTCCACGGCATCTCAGCTATTCCTCAACGTTGCCCCTCCCCGCCCCAGCGGCCTTTAATCTGATTACAGGGCTTCTGCAGTCTTTCAGAGGAGGTCAGTCCCAGGAGGACAATAGCAGAGCAAGTGGTTTCACAAACACCTTCGGCAGGCTAATATGATTCTCAAAAGGTCCCCTCTGGTAAAACCACTGAGGAGAAACTTCTCTCACTTTCTGCCCCAATCCAATTTCAATACTTATTCATGCAAGTGAAGAAGCCGATATAAGATGCAGAAAAAGGTTCAAATCAATGGTGTTCTTTTTCCCCATCTGGCCGCAACAATTGGTACGCTTGTAGAATTGTCAGACTTTAAAACAAGGATCATCATTCATCTCACAAGGTATGGATGGGCAAACATTTGATATATTAATTTTTTGGGATGATTGAAAATAAAGGTGGTCATGTTGACCGGTTCATACGGCAGGAAAAAAACAAAACATCAGGAGTGTTAAAACTTTTCTGACTGAGCATTGTTATCTCTGCTGTTGTAATTTATGTATTCTTTATTGTACACATTTTTATTTTTAAGTGTCGCTTTGGCTGGTGGGTAATTTCGTCGCAAACAATCATGAGATAGTATCACAGTACAGATCTATAGTATGAAAATGACATCAAAATGATGCAAAACAATGCCAATTTTTGACCACCATAGAACGTCAATAAATGTGCGTCAATAAAATGTTTGACCTTGGTGACCTTAAATAACATGATAGTTAATGGGCTTGACCCCATCAGGACATTCACTGTGACTTGCAGCACATGCCCCCCCCCCCCCTTGTGCAGTGAGTTCATTAAGTCACACTCGACTGGTCAAGAAGTGACTGAGTGACCCGTCCGAACCTCGTTACCATCACAATCAAGGCAGAGACCAGAAGCAATCAACTCTATTGGGGGTTTTCATAAGGAAATAGCAGTAATGGGCTTCATTAAAAAAATGTAGTTATTACATATCCATCCATCTATTTTCTGTTCTGCTTTATCCTCACAAGGATCGCGGGGGGTGCTGGAGCCTATCCCAGCCATCTTCAGGCAGTAGGCGGGGGACACCCTGAACCAGTTGCCAGCCAATTGCGGGGCACACAGCTAAATGGACTTCCCGAAGGCAATGCTATGCAGTTGTTTCCAATACACAGTGCAATGCTCCTTGTTTTATGGTACATTTGACAATAGAATTTAATTTTGAGTGGCATCAAACAGTTTGAAGCATCTTCTTTGAAAAAAACAATGTTTATTTTCTCATTCAAATCGGCTGAATAACTGCTTGCGTCTCGAAAAACTACGTCGGGCCATAACGTTGCAAGTAAAAGAGCAGGACTCAATACCCCTGGGTTTAATATATTAATGAATTACAGTAAATACTGTATGAAATTTATGTTGATCCCTGAAGGGAAATACAACATGAGTATGAGCAACTCGGAGTCATAAAGAAAAAAATGAGGCATCTTTAATTTGCATTTACAAGTGATTCGAGAATTTGGACAAGAACAAAAATACATCAACTACAGTAAGTGAGCACACACTGTGTCATGCGTAGTAACTAAAACTTGCGGCATGCGGCGAGGAACAATTTGACTCTTATGTACACACTTCTTACAAACACCTACATTTCATTTGAAAGGAACAAAAGCTACAATTTACCCCCACACACCCACGCGCACACACACACACACACACACACGCACTATTTCTCACACACACACACTATTTCTCACACACACACACACACACACACACACACACACACACACACACACACACACACACACACACACGCACACACTATTTCACACATTCGTGGGACTCACTCAAATCGCAAATGTCACAAATTAAGCTTTCTTCTCAGGAGTTCCTTAGTCTGAAGCAATTTGAAGTGCATCTTTTTCAGACTATTTGTGATTGTGCTGGCAAGTCCTTTGGGATCCTTTGTGACTAGCTCTGCTCCACAGAGAAGTTGGACTCAGAGCTGCAAAAAATAAAAATAAGAAGACATATAAACAGACTTCCTGCGAGGAAGGATTTTTACAAAGAGGGTCAAAATTAAGAAGAGAGACATTACAGGTCTTGGTGTTTGTTTATCATGTGGTTGTTGTACTCCAACACCGGAGGAATGCTCTCTTCTTCCTCGGGAACCTGCAAGCCCACAACACACAAGTTAATCATCATCATCAGCAGTAGCAGCAGTTGAACTTGAGCAATTAAAAGAGCGTCACACCAGGATCAACCACGGAGCAGGAGCGCCATCTGGCGGTATAAAAAGCACACTCACCTCCCAGTAGACTTCATCGTCGAAGCAGTTGTCATCAGCGGGGTCACCCCAGATGGGGATTCTGAGGATTACACCTGGAAGCACAAAATTGAGTGTCACAACTAATCATCAACTATCCATCCTCCCATCCATTATCTGAGCCGCTAATCCGCACGGGGGTTGCGGACATGCTGGAGCCTATCCCAGCTGCCTCCGGGCATTCGGCGGGCACACCCTGAAGAGGTCACATAACAATAACCCTTCACACTCACAATCACACCTAAGGACAATGTAGAGTGTTCCGTAAACCCGCCATGCATGTTTTGGGAATGTTGGAGGAAAACGGAGTACCTGGAGAAAACCCTAGGAATGACACTTCTGTCGAACTTGAGCACAAAAAACTCAATTTCACATTGAAACTACTTCAGGGTGTACCCTGCCAACTGCTGTTTTATTTCAGTGCATTTTTATTTCAATTTTACAAGAAATATATTTTCAATGAAATCACTCTTTAAGTTCCTTTTTTTTTTCTTTGTGAAAAGTTTGCAAACCAATGCATTTGACTAATACAGAGAGAGAGTTCGACTCACCAACAAGTGCTCCTCCTACGAGTCCAAAAGCAATAGCCACACATGTGCCGGCAGCCTGGAAGCCTCCCTGCGTGCCCACAGACCTGCCCGCAAACTTGCCTTCAAAGTCAAAGGTGTCGATCAGTCTGGTGAAACACAAAGTGATGTTTAGCCTCACAAAGCTTCCAATGACATACGTCGTTTTCAGCTATTTTTGCAAAATCAATACAACGTCAAGACAATAATGTGACTCAGCAATGAAATGGGTGATAGATGTGGGCAAGCTGCCTACCCTTGTTGGCTGTAGACACTTTCAGTGGCGGCAGCAGCAACAATTGCACCAGTAAAGCCGCCAAGCATGCCCGGTAGAGCATGCAGGTTGTGGACACCACATGTATCCTGCAGTTTCAGGTACTTTTCGAAAAAGGGCTAAGAAGGGCGGGGGTAAGTGATAAAGGAAGTGTTACTATTGTATATGTAAATCAATGGACATGGACATTAATTCTTTCATTAACGTCTGGCGCAATCAGTAGATATATTAAGAGAGCTAATGATCCGGGTGGAAGAGCATTGGAGCAAATTTACCATCGATGGCAGTTCAATTGTTATTGTTTTTTTTTTAAATAAATGATTTATTATGAACATTATAGATTTGTTATTGGATAACCTAAAACACTGCAATGCGCTCATTACAGATGAGATTAAATAGTCAGTATTTCTATGCATTTAAAATAATAGCAGTGGAATAGTTCAGTCCCTCTTTTGCCATCTTTTTTTTTTTCAACGATCAATTGCCAGTTCGGTATACTTGGAAATCTGTTTCCGCCACACTGTTAAAAAAAGTTGAGTGAATTCAAAATTTCAAGGCAAAAAACTTGAAATGAAATTTGATGAAATTTTAAGTTGTGTTTTGCAAATGTAAATGGCTTTTCCCTCATTTTCAGCAAAGGAATAAATATATAAATAAAAACAAATCAACAGATTGTTTTGGAGCAAAAAAATAGTTTTTTGAAAAAAAACTAGAAAAAAAAAATTTAAAAAAGCATTTTCCACTCTTTTTTTTCTAGTGAAAATAGCACAATTCATATTATACACACAAAGCCATCCGTCGTTTTTACGAACAACTGGATAGGACTAGCAAACAGAAGCAGGATGACGGAACTCAGAATTCAGTAGAAATTTCTTTTTGACAGGCACGTTTATCGTTTAAAAAAAATTCCATCGATTGTAAAGTGCAAAAAGTACATCAAATCGATAAATTATGTGTTATATAGTAACACTAGCATGAAAAAGCCATGCTACCATTGTAGTATATGTGGTGTGTTTACAGCGCTAATAGTTTTTATAACCTGGACAGCATTGTGTGTGACAATCACAATTATCTACTTTCATTGTGAATAGTCATGTTTGTTTGCGGTCTGTGCGTGTGTGCGTGTGTTGGGATTTGGGCAGAGGCGAAGCTGCTTTCAGATCTTGCTAGCAATTTTAAAACTGAAAACTCCACATTTGAGTGAGCAAGTCATGTGGAATTTGGAGGAGAGGCGACAAGCTCACCGTGACAAAAAGGTAGCCAAAAGTCGAGATGATGCCAGTGAGGAAGCCCACAATGAGTGCTCCATAGGGCATGATCATGAACTCAGCCGCAGTTCCCATAGCAACGCCACCAGCTAAGGTGGCATTCTGAATATGCACCTGTCAGGTAAAAGGTCACATTAGTCACGACTTCCACATAATGTTGCTTTTCAGCTCCTGAAGCTTACCATGTCCAATTTGCCTCTCTTCTGTGACAAGCTAGATATGGCAACGGTGGTGAGCACGGACGACGCCAGGGCGATATAAGTGTTGATGGCCGTTCTGTGCTGACCGGCGCCGTGGTCTGTGATAGCCGAGTTGAAACTAGGCCAGAACATCCATAGGAACAATGTACCTGTGAGACGAGACAAGTCGGACGTCAGCCGCTGGGACTTAGAGATAGCATCTGTGTGAGTAAAATAATTGTACCAATCATGGCGAAGACATCCGAGTGGTATACGGATCCATTCAGGCGTCTGCTTAGGTCAAGTTTTGGTCGGTACAGAACCCAGGAGATGGCCAGACCATAATATCCCCCGAAGGCGTGAATGACCATGGAGCCCCCAGCGTCTCTGCACTGTTGAAAATATTCACATCAGCATTACCAATGGAAGTTCAGTGGTGCCTTGACATACGATTGAATTCATTGACAAAAGCACACCTCAAATTATCTTTCCCCATTGCAATTAATGGAAATGCTGCTAATGGGTTCCAGCGTGCCCCCCGAAAACCACAAAAATATTGTGTATTGTGTTTTAATAAGAAAAATGTCACTCTATAATATTGCACTCTATAAATACATACAATTTTGTGGCAATTTTGACATCAATTCAATAGATGGATGGAGTGTCAGAAGAGCATCTCCGTCCATATGCTGCTTCATCATTTATGTTCAAATGTCCATCGTTTAAAAGTTTATAACACCAGTTTCATTAGCCTGTCTATGGCGATTTGCATTGTGTGTTAGCATTAGGCTAGCGGACTTTTGGGAAATTTATGATGTTGTTTTAAATCCATAACATGTCATTCTGTTTAGTTTTCCAGTACAGATCAAAAAGAAATGAAGAGTCGCTCACTATCTGCCAATTTGCTGCTTATTTTAAAGTGACTTCAGTTGACTAACTACCTTGTAAGTCAAAGGAATCTCCTGAAACTGACAAGTGGGGTCACTGGTATCCTGTGGCTGTAATTTGCATAGCTGTGTGGATGCGCATTATGATAGTGAGAGGTGTTTATCTTGTCTGCACTCAAGTCGAGTATGCAGCTGGACCTGCTCTGTTGTAGTCGCTGTTGCGCCAGCACAAAATACAAATGTCCTCAAGCGTCGCACTATTTACGATAAGATTGTCTGTGAGACTCACGTGTAAGAGGTCCAAGATGATGTACTCCTCCACAGCGAAGAGGGTGACACCAAACAAGGTGAAGACCAAAGTCTGGACCGGGCTGACTTTTCCCAACAGGGCACCGTAGGCGATCAGAGAGCCAGCGCAACAGAAGTCAGCGTTGATCAAACTGCAAGAAAGATTCCGAAAACCAAGTCAATTTTATTTTTGACAATGCACCCAGTTGCCAAACTTGAAAGTCCAGCTCTTAAAATGACACTTGGCAACTTTTGATTCCTCGCTGGACAATGAGGAGCCGCAGGACATCGCATGACAGATGCCGTTTAAAACAATAGCGTTTGTGCACAAAGTGGAAGCTCCAGATCAAAGGAAAAATGTCAAAGCTCCTCCTTGTCAAAAGCATTCCTCTCACCTCTCTACTCCGATGGTGATTTTTCCAGTGTTTGGGTCCAGGGCGTGGAACCAGCCCTGCATGAGGAGAGCCCACTGCAGGCCAAAAGCGGCAATGAGGAAGTTGAAACCCACCCCCCCAAAGCTGTAACGCTTCAGGAAGGTCATCAGGAAACCGAATCCAACAAAGATCATGACGTGGACGTCCTGGAAACCTAGGGGGAAAAAAAAAAAAAACATTGTCCATATTGGGTTTTGTCACACATTGAGCCACAGTGCACCGTAGTTCATATGTGTACAGCATTCAGAAAAATGAATATTTATAGTATCCCATGATGATCAAATCATATTTTAAAATGTTTTTACTTTTTCAAATTAAAAAAAAAAGAATTGGGCAGAAACATGAATTGTCCAGTTACCACGAGCAGAAAAAAAGTACAAATAAAGACAAAATAAAAAAGCAGTGGAAAAACAGTAGAAATAGCAGAGGAAAAAAAATAATTTTTTTACATAAACACAATAATTGAATGTGTAAACTGTGGAAACACATTCTAATAATTGCAATAATTGTGAATGATTCTCGATATTATTTATGATACATTTGATTACAATTTATTCATTAAAAAATTATATGATATATTCTATTTGGTTAACGATAGTGAAGCAAGGGGAATTCATTGTAAGTTCTAGGCATTTTTCTTTATTCAATCTATTATTCTTTCTTTTTTCTTTTTTTTTTATGATCAAGATATATGCACCTTGACTTTTTCTAAACAGTAAAATAAACGAAACAATTTGGAAACATAATTTAAAAAAGCACCCATTGTCAACAGTGAAACCAATGTCCAAACAAAATGAAAAATGACAAGAATAATTCCAAAAAGACACTTACTCGGATATCTGAAATAGAAGTCATTCTCAATGTCGCTGGTGATGTTATTCTCCTCTTTGAATTCCTCCCAGTGAGCGTCCGACTCATCATCGTAGCGGATGAAGACCCCAAAGAGGATAACCATAGCAATCTGCCAAACGAAGCAGACCGCCGGCAGACTGACCCGCACGTTGGTGTTCTTTCGGACATTGCAGATGGCCTCACAGCAGTTCCCCATGGTGACCTGTTCTGATGATGCTCAGCTCGCTGCGCCTCCGTTGCAGCATTACAGCAGGTGTATTTATGCAGAGACCTGAGGAGGGGGTGTGTCCTGCTTCTTGCTCTCCTTGGGTTGCAAACACATGGACAGGCGCACACCTCACCTGAGAGCACAGAGACCACTCCTTTTACCCTTTGGATCAAGGTTGGCAACATTCCTAACAAAACATGAAGGTCAGCGCTGACGCCCCAAATTAACACTGCAGGGTCCATTCCGTTAACTTCATGATATAAAGTTTGCGCCCGCTGTTGGCAGGATAATTACATTCTGTTTATTCATACTGTAACAGAGGAACATTACACTGACAAAAAATATCTCTCAGACTTAATTTATTCAAGGTAGCACAGTTTATTTAAAAGTTTAGTTGATTAAAATTAACTCAGGTAAATTGACATTTGCAGACAATTTACAGCATGCATAGGCAAGTTCAACGCTGCAGGGGAGAGAGAGAGAGAGAGAGAGAGAGA